GCCCTAGGTGAGTTGCAATTTTCCTTCCTTAGGAATGAGGTCATCATTGTCTGGCTGCCGCTGGTGGTTTCATCTGATTCTCGGATGGGTGTTTAATTTTTATATGATTAATCATCGTTCCGGTGGAACCACCTTTGTATGAGAGGGTCGCGCTGCATATTTTGCATTTTACACTATGGTCATTCACTTTTTCAAACGTGTTCCACACTGGACTATTTGATGTGCGAGGCATTTTGTCAAGCAGGAACAAATTGGTTGAAAGGAGCGAGGAACAAATCGAGGAACAAACAGTAGGAACAAATCGAAAGAAAGTGCTGAAGTGTCTGGTGCAGCGCCAATAAATACCCTTACAAAACTTTTGAATTTTGATCTAGCAACGTTTGTGATTGTGAAGTTTATAACGGAAGCAAATAATTTGCTACATTTTCAAATAAACGAAAACCGCAGTCGAGGATGGAGCATCTTTTCGGAAGTCCGAAACAGGCCTATTTAAAAAACAAAGGTAAAACACGCAAATAATCTACGTTGATATCGCTCTTTAAAAAAATGCAATTTCCTTCCTATAATAGATCCTGTAAAGTCACCGCCCCTCAGCTCCCGCCCTGAGATCCAAAAAAAATTTTTTATTTTACCCCCGCCAACACCAAACAAATTCTGGGTCATCGTCATCGATTTCCTTGTTACGGAAGCGGCAGTAACTTTGGATACAGGGAGCGGCGGGCTTATATATACAGCACTTGGGGAAAAAAATAATCCCAATGCATCAAAATACATCGTTTTAAATAACGCCTTCACTTGAGTAGCTTACGGGGGAGCGGGGTAAACTTTTTTGGGGGGGGGGTCCTCGCCGGTTTTTAAATCATTATGAAAGTGCTAGCCATTGGTTTGATTACTGCACACACCAAGTGATGATTGCAGCAAATTCAAGTTCAGAGAAAAAATACAGACAAAAAGACAGACTCGGAATTGTTTTAAAACTCAGTATTTTAATAATAAACCTAGGAGAGGCGCCATCGCGCCAGGCATCGATCTTGGCCCAGCGGCGTGTTGAAAACATCAAACACAAGCAATTGTATACACTGTGTATCAATTTGACACAAAACAGTTGCCGATCATTGAACAATGCATCAATAAAACTTCTTGGAACATGATTAACTACTATAAAATGCGTTTCTAATTCTTTATAAATGAAATAAAATAAACATCGTAGATTCTTTGTAAATAAAACTGGAGGGTAGGTTGCGCAAAATACAAGGTCCCATTTTTGAAATTTGAGTTTCGTTTAAATGTTTGGGAAAATTTCTAAACGGATTTGATTTCTTTTTCGTTTACACGTGTAAACGTCACATCCTTAATTCAGGCTCAGGCCTTCAGGCCAGTTTCAGAAGCTCCAGACCATCATGACAACTTCTGACATGCACTCACTCCAAGGAGCACAGTTTGAGCTGACAGCCATCATCAACCACAATGGGACTTAAGACAACGGCGGTCACTATTACGCACTACTCAAAAAAGGTGACAACTTCAAGCCCAAAGTGGTGCCATTGGAGCAGGTATGCAGCCCAGACAACTATCTCTTTCTCTTCAACAGACAAATAACTGTTCCTGTCGCTCCGATCCCTACTCCGACCAGCCCTGAGTCCTCTCCCCCTCAGCGGAAGAAAGCTCTGACCAATGACAAGAGGAGCCGGTTGTTAGTGCCACAGGATGTGTCTGCAGCCGCCGCCCATATCAGTCCACCTCCTACCCTTCAGTCACCAAACAACTTCCCAACCCGACAGCTCTAGATCAGCTCCACCCTCGGGAAGCAGCTGCAGAAAGGAAGAGGTTACAAACCTTCCCCACCCAGCCACCAGATACAAATGATCTCTGGTTCAGTAACAGCCCAGAGACTATACCAGTGGAGGAGCTGGCGGAGGGCACCATCATTGCCAAGGCCTGGCCTGTCGGACAATAGGAGCAAAAACGTTGTGTGGGTTATACCCAAACGAGCGGCGCCGTCAAAGTGTTGAAGTGCTGTTCGTTGCAGTTACGGGTAGCGTCTGGCAACAGGGATGTAGTCAAGGTCCGATGACCAGAGTCAGCAACAATGTTATCACGCACGTCATCAGCAACGATAGGCATGGTAAGGTACTGGGGTCGTCTCGTCTGTTAGGAAGGAGTACAAACTTGAGCTTCAAGGAGGGCGCCGCAGTTTGGGTTGGTTGAACAGGGACTGGATCTGCTGAGAACAAACCCAATCGAAGGGAACCACGGGGGGGGGGGGGGGGGGGGGGGGGGGGGGGATCGGGGTGACTAGTGAGTCAAAGAGGCCTCGTCCCCACACCACACCAGGTTCCTTCAGTTTCCTAAGAAGGCACCACATACGAGTGCCAAGCCCTTCCTTTTGGCTTGTCCACGACCCTCGGGTCTTCACCAGAATTGTGAAACAGTGGACAGTGCCCTCCTTCGTCAAGGTCTACATGTGTTCATGTGCCTCAACGACTGGCTCATCATCGGCAAATCGCGGGCATCAGCTGCTCACACAGTCTGTCAGACCCGCTCCCTTGCCGAATGCCTGGGTTTCCTCATCAACGAGTCCAAATCCATGCCAATCCCATCTCAACGGCCCACAGAGCAGTCTATCTAGCGGGCACGGACAACACCACAGCCGTCGCTCTTTCCCGGGCTGGATTCACCCCAAGGAGTGGACACTCCCAAATTCGGTCAGGCAAACGATCTTCTCACAGTTCTCAACAATACTCAACCACCAGCTCCCGGTGTACGGTTCCAGATCTCCAGAGACCCAGATGTGGCGAACCGATGCCCTTTCATTTGTGTGGACCAACCTGTTTGCCTACGCTTTCCCCCGATCTCCCTACTACCCTAAGTAATCGGGAAGATCAAGCAGGACCCATGCAGGGTCCTCCTGATTGCCCCTTTGTGGCCACAACAATCGTGGTTTCACGACTTGTTCGCCTTTTCTATCATGCCCTGCTCCTCCTCCCACAATGGCTAGACATTCTTTGTTAACCTCAGTCGGGTCTACTTCACTACTTATTTCTATAAATAGTGCAGATGGCGTGCAGTGGATTCCTTCGCTACAACTCTAACCGAAGTTGGTGATTTTCTTCTCACCTCTTCCAATCGAGTCTAGCGCTTCGCATCATCCAGCATCCCGTGATGCAATCGCTCGCTGAGTCGTGACGGCCATACGACTCGCATCACCTGACTGGCCTATCCTGAAGTACAGGCCCACAAAGTTTGCAGCGTGGCTACCTCTTGGGGTTTTGTCAAAGGAGTGCCCCTTGCAGATAATCCTACTAGGGGCATGTTGGAAATCCTCCAACACCTTCGATCACCTCTGTTATCTCGAGGATGTGCTGCAAGCCGACCGGCAGCAGAACCAGTCGTGCAGCCTAAACTGCCCCAGCGGCACAACCGGATCCGGTTCCTCCTCCGCTGGCGCCCCACAGTACCAACAACTGATGACCTACCCCATTATGTTAAGAGCCGATTCATATATGATTTACTTTATTGGGTTTAATTTTGTTGGCTTATGGCTCATGCTTCCTTGTGGCCCGCCTTAAACATCGTATACTCTCAAACCCACCTACCTAAAACAGTACTATTCTGCATATGTAGCAATACTCTACGGGTAAGTAGAGCACAGTAGAATCCCCCCACCAAGGTGTGGGCAGATACTACTAGCAAATACTTACCCGTGGAGTGCCCACCCCCCCCCCACTAGTGCCGCGAATACTCTACCATTACACCACCATGCATGTTAGCCTACCTAGCGCTCTTATAGCAGATTTTTTTATTGCATGGCTTATATATGGTACAAAGAAGCTTCTACATGGTTACAAATGTATGATTCAACACCAAGATCATTCATTTAGGCCACGTCTAGGTGATTTTATTGCAAACAAATAATATTTCCTTGCAAGAATTTCCTTGCGGGCATCTTGAAACTGGCCGCCATCTTAAATTTTGGAGTTGCTAATGGGCTTTATCAAAAGAGTAATCTCTAAGGAGTATTTCTGCCGATTTTGGTACTCGTATCCATTTGAAAGATTTCCCTGAAATATTTAGTTATCTGCTGCATTTCATGTCAAATTTTGCAATTAGAAAAAAAAGAAGATTTATTTAAAAATTAATTAAAAATCAATTGATGACGTCAACATGACGACGTCACTTCGGATTATATATAATCCATATCTACCTATGCACCAAGTTTCAGAACGAACAGATATTTCCTTATGTATGTGTTTAAAAAAAAACCTCACATTTTTTATGACGTCATGATAGCGTCACAAATTATTCAAAATTGTGTGCATATATACACTAAACCAAAAAAGAAAGTTCCCCCCCCCCGCCAATACTTTTTTGTCTAACTCAAAAACTACTGAGCACCCTCTCGCTCAAATAACGACTAATCAGTACAGAAATTCATTAGCAATTCAGCCATACTCTTTATTTCGCCCAAAACGGTAATGTGTACGAATATATGCAATTTATGACAAATGATACCGAAAACAGTTGCACTTTTGTATACGTGCATGTTGCAGTTCAAACTCACCTTGCAAGTGTACAAAAATGCAACTTTTTGTTGGTATCACTTGTCATAAATTGCATCATTTTGTACACATTATAACTGTTTTCGGCCAAACAAAGAGTATGGCTGGATTGCTAAGGAATTTCTGTACTGATCAGTCATAATTTGAGCAAGATGTGCCCAGTAGTTTTTGAGTCAGACAAAAAGTATTAAGGGGGGGGGGACTTCTTTTTTTGGTTGAGTGTATCTATGACCTCACAAAACTAATACAAACAGACATTTTGAATGTAGCATGTTTTGTTCCGGAGATATGCAGATGAGATGGGGAAAAAAAGAAGAAAAATTGATAAAAATCCACATGATGACTTCCAACTTTCATCTATAACACATCCCGGTATGTACATAAGTTTCAATCCAATTGGCCTTGTAGTTTTCTAGATACACTGCAAAAACACAAAATTACCATGGCCATTGTTTCCGGGACCTCAGTCAGTAGATCTTGAAGGTCGCAAACACCATAATCTGTGACTTTCCAAGGTTTATTAAAGCATCTAAGGTAGGCTGATGGAAATTCCTGAAGTGTCATCTGAAAAGAAAATAATAAATGAAAGAATCTAGTAAGGTTTCTTCTTCATGTAATCTGTTGATTACATCTATTCATTCATCTCCAAATAAGTTGCTTAGATCCAATTTTTGACAAGATTGCGACTGACTGTGTTTCAAGATGTATATCTCGGTAAAGAGTTATTACAAGGAGACAACACATGAGCACTTATGCATATCAATATTGATACATCCTTTTCCTTTTAAAACAACATCTTTCTTTGAAATAAAAGAACTAAAATATTATTATCTAAGGACTACTTCATATGTTCATTATTATTTGAAATGAGCATTTGGGAAATTCCACGAAAAAGTGGACACGGCTGGAAAGTGGAAACCGTATGAAATCTTCCAAACTACAAGCATCACAACATCACATGTGGTGTCAAATTAAAGGGGACAACAAGATCTTTCATTTGAGTGGTACGCCAATGAGATGGAATGTAGTTAAGTGTGATTTTGGGTTAAAAAACTTGGTGTTCTTTTGGCTAAAATCATGGATTTTTGGTAGTCATTTTGGCACCTTGTTTCAACATGTAAAATGTGACTGTTATTGAGAGTTTTTGTGTTTAAGGCAGAGAGAAAGGTTCATATATTATATGAAAAGAGTTTCATTATGTTGCAGTTCATCAAACTCAGATTTTATGCCGTGTTGGAAACCATGAAGAGGAAGTAACGTGAGTGACGGTATCCACCTGTAATCTAATGTCCCTTGCATCTAAAATACACCCTTATTTGATTCAAATGGGTTTTTATATCTAGCTATGGGTTGAATGATAGGTAAAATATTGTTACTTCTGTGTTGGAGACTACAGTTTGAAGAGACTGTAACAACAAACTTGCAGGAGAAGTTTCCATGTCCTTTTTTTTGTAACGTGAGTGATGACCAACAAAACACATGTCTTTAAAAAGTTAATGAATGGATTGAATTTTTCTTTCCATATTTGAGTACCCCTTACCCCAAGGTTGTTGTATGGCTGGTTGGATTCAGCTTGATCAAATACTTATGAAGCAGTGAGAGGTCAAAGTAGCCTCATGGCATATAAATGTAACGTGAGTGACGGTGGAATTGCCCATTTGTGGGTTACATGATTCTTCTCACTTGGATACGTTGTCTAGCGATATATGATGTGGATGAAATCTAATAATATATTATAAGACAAAAGATTATGCATTAAACCATGGTTTCCAATATAGCAGATTGACTCTAAGATGTAGCGGAGCAGCATAGCTCCAATATTTCCAAGAATTGTTGAGGTCGTTCAGACACCGTTTTAAATTCCCTTAAAACACCGGTTGAACTCGATTCAGTGTAACTTTCTTGCTAAAACGATGTCTGAACGCTTTTATATTTAGAACGAATCGACTTCAACTTGTCGCTAAAACGGCAACTTAAACCCCCTCGGAGGGAGGGTTTAGCACATAACCAGAATGAGTTGATCTCCCGTTTTAGCCAGAGCAGTGACCCGAAGTTACCTAACGCCTTCTCAGTTGGTACGTTTTTGTATTTATCAAACAATGTACCATGGGCTACATGGTGGCACAAAGCACCCGTGAATCTCCTAATTCTCCTACCGTCAGCCATTCATGAAAAAAAAATCCAACTTTCAAGTCCAATCTCCGCAAGTTTTCTGACCACTTGGTCCGAGTTTCACATCGTGCTCACTTGCACACAGGATGACAAACATGCCAACGCAACAACCGCTAACCGAAGCGTAATTATTATTATACTCTAATATATTCAACTATCAGGAAAACCTTGGCGTTGATTGGTCAATATTGCAACGTTAATATCACGTGTATTTTCACGTGACTGACATGTTGTGCGGGCAAGTTGATGCAGTAAACATGGTGTGAAATCTGTTCAATGACGTGTGGTTTCGAACACTGGTTTTCGAACAACTCTTTAGAACAGAATTATGTCTTTTTGCATCACGAAAGGTGCAGAAAATAGCTCCCAAAATGTAAACACAAATGGTGTAAGGCCGATGTACAATACTTAAAAAAAAAAATGGGAAAATTGCTGTGGTGGACTAGTCACTCTCGTCACGTTCACCACGTGCCATGCTATACGACCGGCCGAGGCTGCGATGTCAAACACGGCATGGCAAAACACATGACGGTGAGAGGCTCAGACCATGTGTACCGAACTGTAAAAATGGAAGAGTGAAGGCTCTTCGGTTTTTGCCGAGGTGGATGTTCTACGTGACCTTAGAAACTGAGATAAACCACTTCGAGTTGAACTTGCTATACTTAAAACGATGTCTGGGCACTCAGTAGTTTTATTTTTATGACGGGCTTTCCGTGGAGAGCGATCGTTTTAACTTTTACTGTTTTAGCTAAAACGGTGTCTGAACATGGCCTTTGTGACAAAAGCATGAAACTTCGCATATTGGTTTTTCATGCCATGAAGACAATTTTCAGATGTGGGGATATTTCATATTTGAAATAACATACACTCATCATGAACCACTCGCACTACAAGTTTAAAGGCACTCTCTTTCGAAGGATCGTGTCCGATTGTGTCCGATCACTACAGAATTTAAGAGGACAACGTGGAAAGAGAGGAATAACAAAAATCCAAAAGTCAGCCCATGCCGGTATTACCAGTTGTTGGTGTTTTCTCATGTAATCCAACATTTAAGCATCATGATCGTGTTACTGCACGTTTTAACGTGTAGTGTCTCTCTTTGTATCAATGAACTCGATGATTGAACTTCACTTTATGGAATGCACAGAACAAGTGCATCATACAAAATGACATAATGTGTCGCCAAAACTGCATAAGCCGTCGACAACCTCCACAACGTGCTGTGTATTCTTCTAAGCTTTTACTACCTTGACACTCACCAGGTAATTGTGAAACACCTTGTCTTCATGAGTACGGTGCACTTTTGGAAGTTTCCAAAGAGAGGACTTGCCATTGAGGAACATCATGTCAATTTTTATGGATAGTTGAGCTGTAATATGTGGCAGTAAGAGTGTACTTGGAAGAAAAATCATGCAAAATGTTGCCCCATACTTGCTTGACATTGATGGAGACACACATGATAATGTATCAAAATGCTTCGCCATCCATTCGATTCGTATGCAGAGAGCATGCTCACAAATATCTGCATGACTTTAAATGGACACCTGAATTTTGGTGAACAATTGCAACTGGTTTGCAGCATACTTGTTTTGAAGTACACTGTACCACAGAGATGTATCAACCACAGATGGCTGACGGCATCCTCAATGTGCAGTTGATATCAAGCGTCTGTTCAGTGTATATGTAGCTGTTCAGTGGCTGTTCAGTGCATACTCCTTGAGAAGTATACTCCTTCAAAAGTTTGCCACTTCTTGAAAAGTTTTTTGAGACATTTGAAACCTAGAAACCTATGATCCACAAGTTGTATGACTGTCAGAAGCAGCTTTTGATTGACTTTCTCACTTGCTCCATCCAGAGGCAACTAAAAGTACAAAAACTCATCAATTAAAAGTACAGGTCATCAATCAAAGACACACGAGTCATGAGAGGCGTAGATGTGGGAGAGATCTACAACTTGTAAGAACACAGGCAAAGCTGAAACTGAAAAGAAAACAGAGCACTTCTAAACCGAGAACAAAATATGACGTTAACAAACTGCAAAAAAACAATCAATCAAGAACCAATTCCAGTTGGAACTTAGGAATAACATTGCAGTACTTGAAGCTGTACCAGATGAAAATTTACATTACAACAAATGGAGCAAAATCAACAAGATATTCAACCAAACTGCCAAGGAGGTGCTTGGACCCAAGAAAACACAACAAAAGCCTTGGATAGGTACGGAATCCTGGAAGAAAGTTGAAGAAAGAAAACATCTCAAACTCAAGATTGAAAATGCAAAATCTAAGACAAAGGACCAAGAATCGAAGTCAAGCATGAGGACCGACAAAAGGAAGTGGGTGGAAAGCCTAGCAACTGATGCCCAAAGGGCTGCTGAAAATGGACAGATGAAGACTCTCTATGTAATAACCACAACTATTTGCAATGACAAACCTTGTCACGCAACTGCAGTGAAGGACAAACAAAGAAATATTATTACTGATGATGGGGGGATAAGATCACATTGGAAGAACATTTTGAGGAAATCCTCAATTGGAATGTCCCAACAAATCCAGTGATAATCGAAGCTGGGGACTTCCCAGAAGCTGAAATTATAAACACAACCAATCAGCAAGGTAGAAGTGAGAAGCTGTCAAGCAGTTGAAGAATGGGAAAGGAGGAGGAATAGACATGATTACACCTGAGTTGTTAAAAGCAGACTAAGGATGTGACTTTGTGTTTAATTGTGTAAATGTTTAGCAAACATTTAAAGAACCATTTAAACGTTTAGCCATTTCACAATGGCTGATGCCTGCCCATCGTGGTTTTTCCAGTGCACAATGTCAATGGAGGCCATCACAAAATCCAAGATGGCGGCGCCCATAGAAAACAAAAGTGACGAAAGGTTAATACTGAGTAAAAGCTTCCCCAACATTTTTTTTACAGCTTGGCACCGCTGGCTCACTGACATCAACAGATTGGCAATAATCTGATGGTCCAGGCCATACCAAATCCACTAAAGAATTTGGAACAACTCAGCTTGTTTCTGTGGCTGATGAACTTGGCAATGGACTTGCCTTTCCAGCTCATTCCACAACTTCTCCAGCGGATTCAGGTCGGGGCTTGGAGCTGCAATGGCCATTCCATTGCCTGCAAACTCCCAACTGCCCCCATTTCTCGAATGAAATCTGGGGTTGGGTCAGCCAGATATTCCTATGTAATCAATGCAATATGTGGCGGTGCATTGTCCTGCTGAAACGGGAATTCTATGCTGATCAGAAGAGATCTATTTTCGCGAACAACATCAACGAAACCTACGTGTTACCAGCCGTAGGTCACCAACGCCTACTACGCTGATGAGCTGAAGCAGCCCCAGACCATTGTTCAAGAGCCCCCGTGCTTCACAGACAGTA